TAGGGAGCTCCACCGAAGGTCCCAGTGGGTAGGCCCGCACGCGTCCCGCACACCCATTTCGGCACATCCCTCACACGTTCCGTGGCCCCATAGGGAACTCCACCGAAGGTCTCAGTGGGTGTGTGCGCATGCGTCCCGCACACCCATTTCGGCGCACCCCTCACACGTTTCGTGGCCCCATAAGGGGGCTCCACCGAAGGTCCTTGTGGGTGTGCCCGCATGCGTCCCGCACACTCGTTTCGGCCCACCCCTCACACGTTTCGTGGCCCCATAGGAGCTCTGCCGAAGGTCCCAGTGGCACAGTCCGCACGCGCCCCCGCTATTCATTTCGGCACACCCCTCACACGTTTCGTGGCCCCATAGGGGCTCCGCCGAATGTTCCAGTGGAACAGTCCGCATGCTTCCCCGCCACTCATGTCGGCACACCCCTCACACGTTTCGTGGCCCCACATGAGCTCCGCCGAAAGTCCCACTGGCACAGTCCGCATGTGTCCCCGCCGCTCATTTCGGCCCACCCCTCACACGTTTCGTGGCCCCATAGGAGCTCTGCCGAATGTCCCAGTGGCACAGTCCGCATGCGTCTCTGCCATTCAGACTCATGTCGGCCCACCCATCGCACGTTTCGTGGCCCCATTCCGCCGAAGGTCCCGGTGGCACAGTCCGCATGCGCCCCCGCTATTCATTTCAGCACACCCCCCACACGCTTCGTGGCCCCATAGGGAGCTCCACCGAAGGTCCTTGTGGCAAGGTCCGCATGCGCTCCCGCCACTCATGTCGGCGCACCCCTTCACACGTTTCGTGGCCCCACAGGAGCTCCGCCGAAGGTCCCAGTGGCACAGTCCGCATGCGTTCCCGCCATTCATTTCGGCACACCCCTCACACGTTTCGTGGCCCCATAGGGCATCCACCGGCGGTCCCCGTGGCGCAGTCCGCACGCGTCCCCGCCATTCATTTCGGCCCACCCCTCACACGTTTCGTGGCCCCATACGGAGCTCCGCCGAAGGTCCCAGTGGCACGGTCCGCATGCGTCCCCGACACTCATTTCGGCACACCCCTCAAACGTTTCGTGGCCCCATAGGGGGCTCCACCGAAGGTCCCCGTGGCGCAGTCCGCATGCGTCTCCCTTGCCCAGTACAGCGTTACGTGGCCCCATATGGAGCCCCACCGCAGGTCCCAGCCAGCCAGCTAGCTCTCTTTGCTCCGCGCAGCGGGCGACCTGCGCGCGTCGCTGGGGCCCCTCCGGGGCGACCTGCGCGCGTCGCGGGGGCTCCATGCTGCGTTCTGCCCAGCGCCTCGCTGGCCCGTCGTCGCTCTGCCCAGCGGCAAGAGCCTTGCCCGCCATCAGCCAGCCAGCTAGCTCTCTTTGCTCCGCGCAGTGGACGACCCGCGCGCGTCGCTGGGACCCCTCCGGGGCGACCTGCGCGCGTCGCGGGGACTCCGCGCTGCGCTGCGCCCGCAGCCTTGGACTTTTGAGTGCGCGGGCAAAGAGGGAGTAAAGGAAGGGGAGGAAGCGGGCGCGATCCTCGCGGGGGGGCGCGCCGACATTGGCGTCGCGGCGCGCGGGCGATGCCGTCGGGGAGTCCCGGGGAAACTCCTTGCGGCGGCCACGCCCAGCGTCACGAGTACTCAGAGGCAGCCATTGTCAAACCATTGACATTCATATACAATTGCACCACGCTTTGTCATATTCGCATTCATGCACGTAGACTCGCTCGCACGCAGATTCATTCACAGTCAGACGCGCGCGCGCAGATTCACCCGCGCTCAGTCTCCCTACGTACTCAGATCAATCGTTTTCGTTCGCGTTGTGTACCACGCCACTCATGTCGACACACCCCTAGCACGGTTCGTTGCCTCATTGGGATCGCCACCGAAAAAGTGAATCACTATTGCGGTACTCACACCTGCATATGGTTGGGTCCCTCGTCAAGCTATTTTTGTTTGACGGATTTGGGCATTTTCTTCTTTTCAGCTCTCCGACGGCACAAGACGGCCCAAGAGGCCCCCAACATCGCGCCAAGAGCGCCCAAGAGGCCTCCAAGATGGCCCCATGACAGGCCAAGAGGCCCCCAAAGGGGCCCCAACAAGAAACCAAGACGGCTCAAGAGGCACCCAAGACGCCCAAGATGGCCTCCAAAACGGCCAAGATGGCCTCCAAGATGCCTCCAAAACGGCCGAGAAGGCCTCCAAGACGGCGAAGATGGCCCCATGATGCACCCAAGACGGCCCCAGATGGCCTGAAGATGGCCTTCGCCTGCCCAAAGGCCCGCCAGAGGCCTCCAAGACGGCCCAAGACCCCTCCAAGACGTTCTCCAAGAGGCCTGAAAACTCGGAAACCACCTGGTCCGATAGCTGGCCCGACACCGTGTTCCCCGAAGGCTTTCGAAACCCACTCGGGGAACGCGTGGCGCGATAGCTTGGCCAAGCTCAAACCCAACTTTCGGCCACGAAGGCGATCCCAAAAAGGCAGGGGGCGGCGGTGATTCGCCGTAGGCGTCTTCGATAACGCCAACGTCTCAACACGTGCGGATGATTCCTATATGCCCCCGCATGATTTTCCCAAACGCGTCAAGGCGGCGCCGAGACGCACCGACGCGACTCTGACATATCCCATTACGATAGAGAGGGGGCCAGCGGGAGGGGGTGAAGCCCTTACGGACACACATGTGTATAGGTATACGTATATGCATATATTCATATAGGTTGGCCAGCGCGTACTTTAATCATTTCCTTCCACATACGATGTAATGCAACATGTGGTGCAATCCACGTGGCGCAATGTATGTTATGCAACCTATGTATTGCAATCTACGTGGTGCAACATCGGTTGTGTGACCTATGTAGTGCGATATAGGTGGTGCCATCTGCGCGGTGAACTTTATGTGGTGCCATTCAGGTCCTGCACCCTACGTGGAACAATCTGTTGTGCGATCTATGCGGTGCGATGTCTGTGGTGCAATGTATGTGATGCGATTTGTGTGGTGCAATAAAGGTCGTGCAATCTACGTGGTGCAACCTATGTGGTACGATCAACTAGGGCTCCCAACTTCGCGCTTCGCGCTCCGCGAAGCGCGAAGCGCGAATAACTTCGCGCTCTCGCGCCGCCCCCCCAGAGGGAGAAGAGGAGGACGAGGAGGAGGGGGAGAAGGAACGAGGACCGCGAAGCGCGAAGCGCGAATAACTTCGCGCCCTCGTGGGAGCCCTTGGATCAGTGCGGTGCAATCTAGGCGGTGCAACCTAGGCGTTGCAATCCAGGTGGCGTGATCTCTGTGTGGTGCATTCTGCGCGGCGACGGGCGGCGACCCCCAGCGCAGCGCAACGCAGGGCAATGCAGAACAGGCCAATGCGACACAAGGCAGAGCAATGCCACGCAATGCCATACAATGCAACGCGACGCAAGCCGACGCCATCAGAAACAGTGCAAACCAATGCCAACTGACGCCACACCGTGCAACGGAAAGCATTACAACGCAATGCAGAGCAGTGCACATCAGTGCAAAACAATGCAGGGCAACGCGAAGAAAGCAATGTACGTCACTATAGTGCAGTGCAAAGTGACGCAAAGAAATGCAAAGCAACGCAAGCCCAGACGGCGACGGGCATGCGACGGCGACCACATAGCCGCCAGACCGACGGACAGGCAAAGAAGACGGGTGGCAACGAGGCGGCGATGGCGACCACACAGCCGCCAGACCGACAGGAAGGCCCAGTTCCGGAGAAATGGATCAAGACCCCCTAGGTACAAGCAGTGTTTGGATAATCTAATGTACACGCACATAACTATATGTATGTATACGTATGTGCATGTGTGCATACATGCGTGTACAAGTGACAAGTGTATCTTGTAAACTGAAAAATATATAATATGGGCGTGCGGGCCGAGCGGGGTGCGTGCCGAACGAACACGCCACGGTCTTTGGACACGCCCCGCAGCCTCTTGTTTTTCTTTCTTTTTATCCCTCTCTCTTTCCCTCCCTCTCTTCCATATCCTTATCCTCCTCGGCCTTCTCTTCCTCCTTTATTTTCTTCGCTCGCCAGAAAACAACAAGCCACAGGAACAACAAAGAAACCAACCCAAAAACCCAATCAGCCACTGTTCTGGAAGAGTCCAGACTACGAGGCGATGCCGTCCGACACATTTGTTGAAATATCCTAAGGCACCCAACGGATCCCGCATGGATTGGCAAACGAATCGAGAACACACCCAAAGAACTCCGAGCGATCCCAACATAATCCTGAAGGTGCCGTACAGATGTTCAATGCTTTTTGTCCGTGACTCTAAAAGAATCCTACACACTCCTGCCAACTTGCGCTTGAGTTTCTTCAGTCATGTTATACATTGCTTGACACTGCCAGAACGAATCTTCAAGGTTTCCGAGGGAGTCATACGGAACCCTCAGGACTTCCTGAGGCATTTGTAAACAAACACAGGACTGCTTAGTCATACGAGCGAACCCTGACATATCGTGCAGATTTCTTGAGGACGCCGTGATGAGCCTAAACGGTTTTCTCAAGATTCCGGAGCGTGCCCTGCGGGGTCCTCAAGACTCCGAGGAACATCCGATGACCACACGCGCGGCGGCGGCGGGCCCGACCATCTGCTGCGATAGCGACAGGCACGGAGGGCGGCCTGTCGCCCTCAATTTTACTTGCTCTCTGGCCCCCGCATGCATCGCCGATCAGTGAGATCCGAAACCGCGAAAACAAAAATCAACATCGTGGGAGAACACGACCAGAACCCTCGACCCCACCTCCGTGCAGCACCTCTGGAGCCGGATCGATCCGCGAGAGTCCCAGGGCCCGAGACGGGGCGAAGACGCCCAATGCATCAAACAAACTCACGACGCCCGGGCGTGTCCAATCACAGGGCGTCCAATCACAGGGGCCCGAGGCACGTGTGCGGCCCACGGGGGCCAAGTGACGTGTTGAAAGGAAAAAGAGGGGTCAATGTGCTCAGGGGGGATATTATGACCCTTGCTATGATACCCCTCGTCCGTCTTCAGCCCCTGACCTGGCCGTTCCCG